ATCATTTTTTGTAAGTTTACACACTCTCAGGAATGTCATGATGGATCATTAGCTTATACACTAACTTTCACACATCTAGATTGCCGGGCAGGGTGGGTGTGGAGCCAGAGACAGCAAGGGTTCAAACTGTAGAACCCAGTTCCTACATTTGAATATGAAAATGGATTTGATCAAACAAAACTATGCTAGATTTTATCTCTGGGACCCTCAGGTTGGCGAATCAGAGCAAGAGTACATTATTTACCTTCAGAGGTGAATGTATCAAACCAGTTGCCGTGATAATTTTTGTTGTTGTTGTGCACTCCTCAAACAATAGCATGGTATATTGTCACTGTAATAGCTACTGTAAATTGGACAGTGCAGTTAGATTAACAATAATTTAAGCTTTCTGCCCATATAAGACATGTCTATGTCCTGGAAAGTTTGCTGTTACTTACAACCGTTATGCTAATCACATTAGCGCATGTTAGCTCAACCGTCCCATATACGGGTCACCGATCCCGTAGAGGTTAAAGATTTGTTCATTGTGATATACTAGTATTTTTTTACTGATACAAACTTGTCTTGTGTTACTTAGTCATAAATCTGAGCATACAGATTTATGAGCCGTTTGGGTACGACTGCAGTATGTGACCTCTTGTGTTTACAGTCGGCAGGAATTTAGCTATGTGGGAACAGAGAATGGTGGCGATATCAGCTATCTTGATTTCCACAGATGAGCTAAATTACAGGGCCTGTTTCTGCACATCTGCTAACTGTCACATAGATAAGAGGATGTACTTTATATAAAAGGAGAGAGCCAACTCTGTTCATTGGGCTTTCAACTCTGAACTATTTGCGTGATTGTTGATTGCTCCATTTTTGCAAATCTTATAATAAAGTTGTTAGAATTTCCACCACAGCATACCACATCAGTGTTATGGGAACATACAATCCAGTGTTCAATAAAAGTAATGTGATAAATGATAGTGGGGTTCCTCAACAGTTTAAATGATAGTGGGGTTCCTCAACAGTTTAAATGATAGTGGCGTTCCTCAACAGGTTTTATTTGTTGGACATAAAGGACTAACAACACCTGCAAATCAGCTCCAAGTGAAATCTGTTTCAAGGTATTCCCACATATAATAGAGAGAGATATGTGATTGTATACAAATGTAAGCAAGGTTTGAAATTATTATGTTTTAGTCAAATGTTATATCTGTTTGGGCTTCTTGCAGTCAATTTGCAGTTTACAAAATATTTGTAATTATGTTCTGGCTCCTGACCATCCCCTTAAGAAGAAATCAGCCTGCGGCTGAATCTAGTTAATGATCCCTGAATTATAGCCTATCTTTCTTTGTCCTTGTTTATTGTACAAAATAAACTAACACTTAAATGATTTCTCAATGTCTCTCTCGATCTCTCTCAAACGTGTGCACACACACACGCGCGCACACACACACTCCAAACCACTGTGGGAGGTGTGGTTGTGAGTTGCTGCTTTGCATATGTAGGTTTATAAATGGGATGCCACAGGCGGCTCCAGAGAAGCTTATACAATCTCCCTCTGTCTCTGGTAGAGAATGGCACAAACAGGTCCTCTGGATAGAGACCAATTGTGCTGCTCAATTTGTCTGGAGTTACTGAAGGAGCCAGTAGCTATCCCCTGTGGACACCGCTACTGTATGGGCTGTATCAGGGGCTGCTGGGGTGAAGATGACTCCTCTAACATCTTCAGCTGTCCTCAGTGCAGACAGACCTTCACTCCAAGACCAATTCTGAAGAGAAACACAATTTTGGCACAGATGGTGGAGAAACTGAAGTCAGGAGGACTCCAAGCTGCACCCTCTGGTCAACGCTGCCGGTATGCTGAAGCTGGAGATGTGGCGTGTGATATCTGCCTCGGTGGTCAGATCAAAGCCATCAGATCCTGTTTGGTGTGTCTGGCCTCTTACTGTGCAGCACACCTCCACACTCACAACGAATCTCCTGCCCTTAAGAAGCATACCCTGGTTGAAGCCACCATGCCGCTGCAGGGGCGGATCTGCTCTCATCATGATAGACTACTGGAGATCTACTGTCGTACTGATCAGCAGTGTGTCTGTCTGCTGTGTGTGATGGATGAACACAGGAGCCATGCTACCGTCTCAGCTGCAGAAGAAAGCACTAAGAAACAGGTAAGGACTGAAAAACAATAATCACTTGTCCTTCAACCTCAGTTGTTTAACCATGATAGAATATGTCAATTTCTGAAAGTATGTTATGTGCATTAAGAATACTTATGTCCATTCCTATGACTGATAACTATAAGGAAGGAGTATGTTTGGCGCCTTCTATACTGGGAGTGATGGATATCATTTGAACAATGTGAACATTTCCCTGATAATGATCAGAGTTGAGGCCATAAAATCTAAAGGTCAGAGGGAAGTTTCTATCAATATCAATAGAACTTCCTTTCCCATATTCAAATGTTAACTCTGTATCTGACACCTGCCTATATGTAACCAGGGATCTGAGGAAGGTATCCAATCCTGGATAAGGCGTGTCAGGTGCCTGTCATCAGTTCAGTCAGTTGCTTTGAATGTGGCAGCATTCACTATGTTTCCACATGCAAAACCTCTTCATCTCTTTTGACTATCTGACTGAGATGATGTGCCAATGTGTAACATGATACTCTTAAGGGAGATCTACATTTTCCCTTTGTCACGCCCTGGCTCTGGGGACTATGTTATGTTGAGCCAGGGTGTGTAAGTCTATGTTTGTATATCTATGTTGGCCTGAGTGACTCCCAATCAGAGGCAACGAGTGTCAGCTGGTTGTCTGTGATTGGGAGCCATATTTAACTGTCGGTCTTTTCACTTTGTGTTTGTGGTTTCTTGTTCCGTGTTTGTTGGTTTATGTAACCAGGGACGTCACGTTTCGTTTTTGTTGTTTTGATCGTGTGATCATCTTGATAAAATAAAATGTTCGCATTCAACACTGCGCCTTGGTCCTCCTCATTGGTAGACGATCGTGACAGAAGAAACCACCATAACAGGACCAAGCAGCGTGAAGAAGAGAGAGGATGGACTTGGGAGCAGTGGAGTAGGAGTCTCGACTGGGCCAAGCCAAGAGAAGAGGAGAGAGGTTGGACTTTGGAGCAGTGGGGTGAGAGTCTGGCGAGAACGATGGAGGCCTGGCCCACGGGGAGGAGAGACCCCCAGAAAATTTTAGGGGGGGGCTCACGACGTCGGGGCAGCAGGAGGCCGCGATAGAGCGGTCCAGCGGGTTGGCAGAGGAGGCCGCCAGGTTACGGGAGTCACTGGTCACCAGGGGGAAGGAGGTTGTAGAGGCACGGCGAGAGGTACTGGCGTGTGTTGCCAGTCCGGTCTGGCCTGTTCCTGATCCCCACGTAGGGCCAGTGGTGTGTGTTCCCAGTACGGGCCGGCCTGTTCCTACCACTCCCACCAAGTCTGTGGTGCGCGTCGCCAGCCCAGTCCGGCCCATCCAAGCTCCCCGCACCAAGTCAGTGGTGCGCGTCATCAGCCCGGTCCGGCTCATTCCTGCTCCCCGCACCAAGTCGGTGGTGCGCGTCACCAGCCCTGTCCGGCCCGTTCCTGCTCTCCGCCCCAAGTCTGTGGTGCGCGTCGCCAGCCCAGTCCGGCCCATTCCTGCTCCCCGCACCAAGTCTGTGGTGCGTTTTGTCAGCCCTGTCCGGCCCGTTCCTGCTCTCCGCACCAAGTCGGTGGTGCGCGTCGCCAGCCCAGTCCGGCCCATCCAAGCTCCCCGCACCAAGTCAGTGGTGCGCGTCGTCAGCCCGGTCCGGCTCATTCCTGCTCCCCGCACCAAGTCAGGGGTGCGCTTCATCAGCCCGGTCCGGCCCGTTCCTGCTCCCCGCACCAAGTCAGTGGTGTGCTTCGTCAGCCCAGTCCGGCCTGTCCCTGCTCCACGCACCAAGTCTACGGTGTGCGTCGTCAGCCTGGTAAGGCCCATTCCTCCTCCACGCACCAAGCCAGGGGTGCGCGTCGTCAGTCCAGCACAACCCGTGCCTGGGTCATGTCCGGAGCCAGATCCGCCGCCGACGCGGAGTGCCCACCCGGTCCCTCCCCTGTTGTGGTTGTTTGGCGCGGTCGGAGTCCGCGCCTTTGGGGGGGGGGTACTGTCACGCCCTGGCTCTGGGGACTATGTTATGTTGAGCCAGGGTGTGTAAGTCTATGTTTGTATATCTATGTTGGCCTGAGTGACTCCCAATCAGAGGCAACGAGTGTCAGCTGGTTGTCTCTGATTGGGAGCCATATTTAACTGTCGGTCTTTTCACTTTGTGTTTGTGGTTTCTTGTTCCGTGTTTGTTGGTTTATGTAACCAGGGACGTCACGTTTCGTTTTTGTTGTTTTGATCGTGTGATCATCTTGATAAAATAAAATGTTCGCATTCAACGCTGCGCCTTGGTCCTCCTCATTGGTAGACGATCGTGACACCCTTCACCCACAGCATATCTGTTACGGGTTATAGAATGTGTAGATCATTTTATGACACAATATGTCCCTTTGAGTAGGCTTCTTTTTCTTTTTTGAGGAATGTAAAATGTAATAAAAACATTAAAATAAAATATGAACGTATGTTGAGTGTTATGGAGACTAAACAACCTTGCAGCTTTCACAAGCTAAATATTCAATTTGACAAAGCGAACGACTCACCATAAGATGAATAGCCTGCTATATGAGCCCAAAATATTTACTAAGATAGGCTTTATAGTTCAGTGGGTGTGTCCTTGTCCCTGCAGAGGCAGCTGGGGAAGACGAGGAAGAAATCCAAACTGAGAATCCAAGCCAAAGAAAAGGAACTGCTGGATCTGAGACAGGCTCTGGAATCACTCAAGGTGATGCACTATGGAGAGCCGTAGAGCAATGGCAGCCGCCACCAAGTCCGAAGCCACTTTCAAGCATTTCTGAGCTATATTTTAGTGGATGGGGGAGGTTTTGCGAGTTCGTTCATTCTTGGCTAAATTTATTATCTTGACCCCACTCTGTGTCTCCCACCAGCACTCTGCACAGACAGCAGTGGAGGACAGCAAGAGGATCTTTACTGAGCTAATCCGTTCTATAGACAGAAGGTGCTGTGAGGTAAGAGAGCTGATCAGAGCCCAGGAGAAGACTGCAGTGAGTCAGACTGAAGGGCTCATAGAGAGACTGGTGCAGGAGGTGGCTGAGCTGAGGAAGAAAGACTGTGAGCTGGAGCAGCTTTCACACACAGAGGATCACATCTATTTTCTACAGGTAGCATCACTGCTGCTCTGTCTTCTGTATAATTAAGGTGTCCAGTGTTTTGATTTATTTTTATCTTGTAATCCATCCCAAACTTTGTCTTCCTCTCTCCTGGATTCTAGAACTGCCAGTCAATCTCTAAATCGACTGAACTCACAGACACACTCAGAATCACAGTGGTTCCTCTAGTGGATTTTGGTCAAGTTCGAGCCTCAGTATCAGCACTCCAGAAGAGATTGGAAGACCTGTTCAAAGGGGAATGGCCTAAAATATCCAGGGCAGGTGAGACTGGACACTTTGCTGTAATTCACTCTGTATTGCATTAAAGCTGTTTTAAAAGTATTGAAAAAAATAACATTCTACGGAACATTACTACTCTTCACTGTATAAAGTCTAATTCGTATTCCTCTGTAGCGGGCACAGTGAAACTCCTGCAGTGTCCAGAGCCCTCGATCAGACCAGAGTTCTTATACTGTAAGTCAGCTTCAACTCCATTAATGGCCAGAGCGCTGCATCTGCTCTTAGCTCAGGGCTAAATCTGCATCTTGGCAGTGCTCTATGGATGCCATCCATCTTCTTGTTACCATTCCTTTCATATTAGTGTAGTACACTGACTCCTCCTTTCATACCCTCCATCGTCTTTCCTCGTAGATTCCTGTCAGCTCACACTGGACCCGCGGACAGCCCACAGGGACCTGAGTGTGTCTGAGGAGAACAGGGCGGTGACAGTGAGGGCCAGGGACCACTCCTGCCCTGAGCACCCAGAGAGGTTTGATCACTGGAGCCAGGTTCTGTGTACTGAGGCCCTGTCGGGGCGCTGCTACTGGGAAGCCGAGTGGAGCGGGAGTGGCATCAACATGGCTGTGGCGTACAAAGAGATGATCAGGAGAGGAGAGGGCAACGACTCCCACTTTGGACGCAATGACAAGTCCTGGAGTTTGTTCTGTTCCAGAAAAGGTTGTACCATCTGGCACAATAACGTGGCCACTAGAATCCCCACCCCAACCTCCTCTAGGATAGGAGTGTACCTGGATCACAGGGCAGGAAGTCTGTGTTTCTACAGCGTCTCTGACACAATGACCCTGCTCCATAGAGTCCAAACCACATTTACTCAGCCCCTCTATCCTGGCTTTGAGTTTATGTGTTTTGGAGTCTCCGTTAAATTGTGCCAGATGGAATGAAAGCGAAACAACAGCTGAGAGCAAGGCAGTAGCAAGTGTGAAAATGTGTTTCATGGTGAAGTTAATAATTGATAGTCTCAGATATGTCGCTCACCCCTGTTTCTATTTGTTTATTACTGAAGAGTTAAAGTATAGATTAGTAGTTTAGTTACGGTAGAGTTAATATCATTTGTATTTTGCTGGCAAAACAATCAAGTACAATAATTTCAATGCTAATTCTGCAAATACCTTCTTGTGAAGTGAAATTAAAAGAAAAGTCTACCCTGTTCCATCTACATTTACATTTACGTCATTTAGCAGACGCTCTTATCCAGCGACTTACAAATTGGTGCATTCACCCTATAGCCAGTGGGATAACCACTTTACAAATTGTTTTATTTTATTTTTTTAGGGGGGGTAGAAGGATTACTTTATCCTATCCCAGGTATTCCTTAAAGAGGTGGGGTTTCAAATGTCTCCGGAAGGTGGTGAGTGACTCCGCTGTCCTGGCGTCGTGAGGGAGCTTGTTCCACCATTGGGGTGCCAGAGCAGCGAACAGTTTTGACTGGGCTGAGCGGGAACTATGCTTCCGCAGAGGAAGGGGAGCCAGCAGGCCAGAGGTGGATGAACGCTTCAGAGCCTGAAGGTACGGAGGTGCCGTTCCCCTCACAGCTCCATAGGCAAGCCCCATGGACTTGTAACAGATGCGAGCTTCAACTGGAAGCCAGTGGAGTGTGCGGAGGAGCGGGGTGACGTGAGAGAACTTGGGAAGGTTGAACACCAGACGGGCTGCGGCATTCTGGATGAGTTGTAGGGGTTTAATGGCACAGGCAGGGAGCCCAGCCAACAGCGAGTTGCAGTAATCCAGACGGGAGATGACAAGTGCCTGGATTAGGACCTGTGCCGCTTCCTGTGTAAGGCAGGGTCGTACTCTCCGAATGTTGTAGAGCATGAACCTGCAGGATCGGGTCACCGCCTTGATGTTAGTGGAGAACGACAGGGTGTTGTCAAGGGTCACGCCAAGGCTCTTCGCACTCTGGGAGGAGGACACAACGGAGTTGTCAACCGTGATGGCGAGATCATGGAACGGGCAGTCCTTCCCCGGGAGGAAGAGCAGCTCCGTCTTGCCAAGGTTCAGCTTGAGGTGGTGATCCGTCATCCATACTGATATGTCTGCCAGACATGCAGAGATGCGATTCGCCACCTGGTTATCAGAAGGGGGAAAGGAGAAGATTAGTTGTGTGTCGTCAGCGTAGCAATGATAGGAGAGGCCATGTGAGGATATGACAGAGCCAAGTGACTTGGTGTATAGCGAGAATAGGAGAGGGCCTAGAACTGAGCCCTGGGGGACACCATTGGTGAGAGCACGTGGTGCGGAGACAGCTTCTCGCCACGCCACTTGGTAGGAGCGACCGGTCAGGTAGGACGCAATCCAAGAGTGAGCCGCGCCGGAGATGCCCAGCTCGGAGAGGGTGGAGAGGAGGATCTGATGGTTCACAGTATCAAAGGCAGCAGACAGGTCTAGAAGGACAAGAGCAGAGGAGAGAGAGTTAGCTTTAGCAGTGCGGAGAGCCTCCGTGACACAGAGAAGAGCAGTCTCAGTTGAATGACCAGTCCTGAAACCTGACTGGTTTGGATCAAGAAGGTCATTCTGAGAGAGATAGCAAGAGAGTTGGCTAAAGACGGCACGCTCAATAGTTTTGGAAAGAAAAGAAATAAGGGATACTGGTCTGTAGTTGTTGACATCAGAGGGATCAAGTGTTGGTTTTTTGAGAAGGGGTGCAACTCTCGCTCTCTTGAAGACGGAAGGGACATAGCCAGCGGTCAAGGATGAGTTGATCAGCGAGGTGAGGTAGGGGAGAAGGTCACCGGAGATGCGAGCTTGACGCCTTGATGGTCTGGAGAAGAGAGGAGGGGATGGGGTCAAGCGGGCAGGTTGTTGGGCGGCCTGTAGTCACAAGTCGCAAGATTTGATCTGGAGAGAGAGGGGAGAAAGAAGTCAAAGCATAGGGTAGGGCAGTGTGAGCAGGACCAGCAGTGTCATTAGACTTAACAAACGAGGATCGGATGTCGTCAACCTTCTTTTCAAAGTGGTTGACGAAGTCATCCACAGAGAGGGAGGGGGGGAGGATTCAGCAGGGAGGAGAATGTGGCAAAGAGCTTCCTAGGGTTAGAGGCAGATGCTTGGAATTTAGAGTGGTAGAAAGTGGCCTTAGCAGCAGAAACAGATGAAGAAAATGTAGAGGAGGGAGTGAAAAGATGCCAGGTCCGCAGATATCTAGTTTTCTTCCATTTCCGCTCAGCTGCCCGGAGCTCTGTTCTGTGAGCTCGCAATGAGTCATCAAGCCACGGAGCTGGAGGGGAGGACCGAGCCGGCCGGGAGGATAGGGGACACAGAGAGTCAAAGGATGCAGAAAGGGAGGAGAGGAGGGTTGAGGAGGCAGAATCAGGAGATTGGAGGGAGAAGGATTGAGCAGAGGGAAGAGAAGATAGGATGGAAGAGGAGAGAGTAGTGGGAGAGAGAGAGCGAAGGTTGCGGCGGCGCATTACCATCTGTGTAGGGGCAGAGTGAGTAGTGTTGGAGGAGAGCGAGAGAGAAAAGGATACAAAGTAGTGGTCGGAGACATGGAGGGGAGTTGCAGTGAGATTAGTAGAAGAGCAGCATCTAGTAAAGATGAGGTCAAGCGTATTGCCTGCCTTGTGAGTAGGGGGGACGGTGAGAGGGTGAGGTCAAAAGAGGAGAGGAGTGGAAAGAAGGAGGCAGAGAGAAATGAGTCAAATGTAGACGTAGGGAGGTTGAAATCCCCCAAAACTGTGAGGGGTGAGCCATCCTCAGGAAAGGAACTTATCAAGGCGTCAAGCTCATTGATGAACTCTCCAAGGGAACCTGGAGGGCGATAGATGACAAGGATATTAAGCTTAAATGGGCTAGTGACTGTGACAGCATGCAATTCAAATGAGGAGATAGACAGATGGGTTAGGGGAAAAATTTAGAATGTCCACTTGGGAGAGATGAGGATTCCTGTGCCACCACCCCTCTGACCAGATGCTCTCGAGGTATGCGAGAACACATGGTCAGACGAGGAGAGAGCAGTAGGAGTAGCAGTGTTTTCAGTGGTAATCCATGTTTCCGTCAGCGCCAGGAAGTCGAGGGACTGGAGGGTAGCATAGGCTGGGATGAAGTCAGCCTTGTTGGCAACAGAACGGCAGTTCCAGAGGCTGCCTGAGACCTGGAACTCCAGGTGTGTGGTGCGTGCAGGGACCACCAGGTTAGAGAGGCAGCAGCCACGCGGTGTGAGGCGTTTGTGTAGCCTGTGCGGAGAGGAGAGAACAGGGATAGGCAGAGGCATAGTTGACAGGCTGTAGCAAATGGCTACAATAATGCAGAGGAGATCGGAATGAAATGAACTAAACATCTGGGAAAGGAGAGAGCGGGGCCTCCCTTACCACAACTCCCAAATATAACTCTCCCAACTTCCACCTCAGAAACTATAATTGTTTCACTGAAACACCCGAATAAAACTCTCCCAACTTCCACTTTAGAAATTAGAATTGTTGTAAACTACAGCGGTTCAATGTTTCAAGGAATAGACTCAACTTACTTTATTCAGCTAGCTAACTATGACGCCATAGCTAACTAGCATGCTAGCATCCAATAACACACGGTTTAGCACCAATACTTGGTTACAACAAACTACCAATAGTGTGTTAACACGCTAAACAGATAATTCATGTCCGTGTCTAGTTCCTTTCATAACGCAGCAATAAGTAAACGTTGGCTAGCTAGCACAAAGATAATGTATTTAGCTGCTACAGTACTGCTAGCGTTGGCTAGCTAGCAATGGCTGCTGTGTTGACTTTCTTTGAGAAACGGCGTCGCTGCGAACGAATGTAGCTGGCTAAAATTATATTGTATTTAGTTGCTATAGTACTGCCAGCTGGTTGCGTTGGCTAGCTAGCAATGGCTGCGGTGATGACTTTGTTTGAAAAACGGCATCGCTGCGAACGAATGTAGCTGGCTAAAAGGATATTGTATTTAGTTGCTACAGTACTGCTAGCTGCTAGCTGGTTGTGTTGGCTAGCTAGCAATGGCTGCGGTGTTGACTTTGTTTGAAAAACGGCGTCGCTGCGAACGAATATAGCTGGCTAGCTAACCTCGATAGTTA